CTATTAGATATTCTCATTCGTGTTTGTGTGCACACATTACACACACCTGTGTGAGAAAAATAGTCTAATTAGTAGCGTAATAATTGGGAATTATTATCGTCAGTTGTGAACTCTTTGATGAACATGTCAAAAAGTTGTTGATTCTTTAAATTATCTTATCAATGCTCATTACGTGTAAAAATCATTTAATTCATTTTTTCTGTCAAAACACTTTCATCAGATAACTGTGAAAAGTATAAAAACAGAATGTATGTGCAAGTTTACATTTCGCGCAAAATATGTGTGTGTGTAAACACTTTCATCGCAGAAATATTTACTCAAGCTTTCGCTTTTATACCCCACTTGTTTGTAGCGAGACTTGTGGTGTCATCGAGGGGAAGAGGGCGATTATCGGGTCGAAGGCGTGCATGCTCTTCAATTAACCCTCCGCTGTATCGATGGTTCCGATCGAATCCGCGCGAACAATCGCGACCGTGTATTTTCGCCACGCTGCCGACGTAGCATGATTCGATGCTTCGCGATACCGATTCTGTGCGATCCGGCTTGGCAATGGGAATTTTTCAAGGGTGACAACATCCCGCCGGGTGTACTCCACTTGTCTCATCACATTGTAGAATATAACTCCGCTATTATAGTCTGCGCAACGTTGCGCAAAAGAGATTAAGAATGAGGGACATCTTGCTATTAACATTGTGTTGTAAAGGCCTCCGGATGCGAAAACAAATAGAATGGAAGTAACTTTTTCTAATTTTAGTTCACCGATTTCCTAGTGAATGAAAGAAGATCATATTATTACCACGTCTTTCTATCTGACGATAAACGTGTCCTTGCCGCATAAAGGAAACTGATCTACTGGACGTAACGATGTACAATAAATGCACATATAAATGTTATATTCAATTTAAAATTTTCAGACGTGAAAGTTTTCGGCGGAATTTAGAAAATATCGCGCAATAATTATACGCAACGCTGTGCCGTATTAAACTAAACGCGAACTGTTCATTATGCAAGACATTTTTAAATTATTTTAACGGGATTACACACGTGTGAGCCATCGATTTTAATCTGCGACAATTTATTTTACCTACTTATATTTTTTTTTGTTGACTACTTTCCGGCATCCGCGTTAATTTATGCCACGTAAAATAACGATGTCCTACAGATTTTGAGTCCATAAATTGTCCACTTGACCAGATTTCTCAGATAGACGAAGACTGTCTCGCGTTTGTCAATGATAATTTTGCTAATTAAAATCGAGCGCGCGTTAAATTGCGAAAACTTGTTTCTGCGAGTAAAAAAAAAAAAGAAAACGACACAAATGTTACACGCGATATAAACACGCGGAGAAGAGAGTCTCGTTACAAGAGAGTCTCGTCCACGACTTGGAAGCAACGGTGCTTGGTAACCTTGAACTAATTATAGTAGTATACCAATTATTTCGCAAATCGGCTGTTTTGCATTTCGACGAGGTCGCTGACTGAAGAATTTTACGCTTTTACGCGTAACCGTATACGGTGTCTCGTAAATAAAAAGGCGCTATGAGCACAGCGTAATTATCAACGTGCATCGCGCGCACGCGCGTCGAGTTCACGAAACCGACGCGCGATGTATAGGGGCCGTGCTGTGTATTCATCATCGCTGTTACGTAAAATAACGTACAGTTTTGTGATTCATGTAAAAGTTTGCGAAATATACATTCACATAAATTTATCATACCACAGTTTACCTTACAAGGAAATTGTATGAAACGAGTTTCTACTTTTTTTTTATAGTATATGTAGAGAACGGTGATAATTTCAACTTTCTAAATACGTAATTTTTGTATCATTTTTTCACTTTTTTTTTAACATGTAAACAGTTAACTAAATTGAGACGCGCAACTCTTTCTTCATCTTCGCTTTGCGAATCAATAAGTACGGTCGACTCTGGGCGCGCAATATCATCGCCGATAAAAATGTATACAGGTGTACTGATTAATATTCCAGTAAGCGTACGGATGAAGCCGTACGTCTGTATACGACTATCTGCAGACTAACATCATCGTGAGCGGGTTCCAAGGAATTTTATCAAGTACACACACACACACACACACACACACATATATATATATATATATATATATCGCGCTATTTATATTTCTCTCTGATCTCTAAACGCTAACTTGATTCACGCGACCCGTTAGTTTCCCCAACAAAAGGACGTCTCACGAGAAGTTGTCCGGGCGAATTCAACTCCCGGGATCTCTCGCGCGATTGTCTCGCCGGATAAAAGCCATATTCGTCGACACGGTGACACCTCGTTGTTGAGCAATCGCGCAACGTACGGAAATTCTCTGCGCTCCGCGCTAATCGTCGTAAATCCTCGCGCTCGGGATAAGCCGAGCCGATTATTCGACATTGAAAGTTAGCGAGCGGTACTTTAACGTTAACGGTCTTTCGCAATTAAAGTCTATCGCGTGCTTGCCGTATCGTCGTCGCTCGTCACGCACTATGCCACGAGTGCGTAAATACGAGAGCGCGTATGCGCGTGTGCGCGCGAGCCAAGCTCGCTTACACGACAATTACCCTTTAAATTGCCGGCGGCCTCGCAACAGGGAGAGAAGAAAGTTCAGGGTGACGTGCTTCCCTCTCTCTCTCTCTCTTGTCTTTTTTTTTCTTCTCTTTTCTTCGCGTTCTCTTCTTTATCGCTTCTTTATTTGCCGCGTCCTCTTGACAAGAGATTCCCTCCCGTTCTCGGATCTGTCTGCCTATCTCTCGGTGGGTGCCTCGGTCGGCCGATTGTGCGGAATAAGCGTGAGAAGAAATGCCTTCACTCTCCGCGGGGTATATCCTAATGCAGTTGGTACAGTGAGATTTAGATACCGCGGTTACGAACGAGTTAATTACTCGTCGGAGCTTATATATATACCGAACGGTCTTTTTTTTCCCGCGGCGAGGAACTTCCGCGGTAATTCTCCGAGCGGTATTAGCGAATTTGCAACGCACGGATATCGGGACGGGGACGCGCGTCTAATTACGTGGATTATAATTGGAAATTGATCAATCTCGATCAAGAATGTGTCTATGCGAGCAAGGCGCGTGCAAGTACAGTTAGGATGACTCCTCCGATTTCTCCGGAGGTTATTAATAAATTGTACGCTATTATTGCAACAATAAGTCATAAAAAAAAATAATTGGTGGTTATTTCTAAGAGAGAGATGTGTGCTACAAGAATCTGTAAGATATGCATTCTTCTGGAATATTTTTCCAACACACATTGCGATACTTCTGCGCCAAGAAAAGATGCCATTAGGATCTTTTCAGCAAAATAACAGTTGATTTAAATACGAAAATAAATACGTCAAGTTTCTATAACAAGGAAATTACGTTGACACATTTACTTTATGTGCGCTCGCGTCGCCCTACTACCAGCGACATAGTTTGCGCCGGAGAGACACATTCGCTCCCGACAAGATTATTAAGACTTTAGAGGTATGATCTTCGCGCAGATAATCAAGTTATCTCGCGTAACGGACTTCAATTTCTCAGCTCATTTCGCGATGTAATGTATTGGTGTTGCGTGTCACAGTAAAATCTCGCAATTGCAGACCTAATTAATTACGCGAATAAATTCGCACGTAACACAATGTGTGTTTAATAAAATAAGTTCGCGCTGATATTACGTGGTTGCGACTCGCGTTTGAGAAATAAAATTCCTTCAGTTTTCTGCGGGTATTGAACAAAAGACACATGCAAAACATAAAACTTTTTTCTTGAATGAAGAAAATAAATGTAGAAAATTTGTCTTATTGTTGAATTCGCGTTGCCTTTGAAGAACGCTTTGAGAATCTTAACTCATACGTACGCCGTACTTGAGAAGGAGAAAGAGAAAGAGAGAAAGAGAACGGCGGAAGTCATGAAGCTTTCCGAAGGACACAGATCTACGATCCGTCGGACGAAAAACGAGGCGAGGTTTCCTACCTATTAGCTCGAAGAAAAAAAAGAGGAGCATTGAACCGCGGAACGTCGACCCAGACCATGATCCAGAAGCATGCAGACGCGGACGATAATTATCCCTGAATCTATCTGCGGTGATATAGATTTGTCGACGTGCGTATAAGAGAGAAATAGAAAGAGAGAAAAAGAGAGAAAGAGAGGAAGGAGCGGATTCCTCCGCGTGGCGTTTGTGCCACCGCAACGGTAGCGACGCGATCGGCTGCGGCTCTTCCCACGAAGAATCCGATCGGACACGCCTGCCCCGCCGGGGACTCCCCGTCGTAAATTGCGATATATAAGCAGCACGACGACATCTCGTCGTTGACCTACCTATAAGCGGTAATATCCCTTAAGAAGGCTGATTCATGAAAGTGATTATGTAAAACAGCATCTGAATCGCAGATTCGAATTATCCCCGGCCTGGCCGTGTACCGTAGGTCACGCTCGCGGCCACGCATTATACGAGCATAAGGCACCCGTGCCCGTCGTCGTTCTTCTTACCCATGACGATAAAGATCGCGAGAGCACATTTCCGTAATACGTGCTTCTCCGGAGGGGGAAGAGCGCGCGCGCACACAGAAAGAGAGAGAGAGAGAGAAGAATAAACAACGATCATTGCAATATTGCATGATCTACGACTATTAAGAAAATATAATAGCTGATACTGCAGCGGCTCAAGTTGTTACGTAAAGAAGAGGACGTCGCACTCTGTGATTTTGCTTTTATCTTCGCAATCTAAACTCCATGATCTCGGAAGCGGTGAGTTAATAAGACGGATTATTCGCAAAAAAATGTTTTTGAGGATTTGTGCGATCTCTCGTCGTTAACCTTTAGAAGGCCGAAGTTAGATGTAGCGATGATAAAAGTTCTTCCTAGTCTTTGTCGGTTTGGATTAGTAGATCACGTTACGGTACTTTTTGTAATCCGAAAGAATATCTAGACGAGTATTCGCGCGATTTATTTGCAAAACATATATATTCTCTGGAATGCGTTATTTGCAATTTGTATTATTTCAACATAACGTACATTTTTCTGCAGAACTCGCGTTTAAATCAGATCTCGCGGTATCTTGACACTCGAGATCGTTCGATTCCCGCGTTTCAACGGCCGATCCCGCGATTTCACTGGTATTTATTTTAACGTAATTGCGATCCAGATAAAAATTGTGTTTGAAATTTTCGAACGCTGAACGGAGCTCGGCAATCTTCTGACTCGTTTGTCTCGATAAATCGTCACGATGCTGCTGAACTTCGAACTTAATAATACGTTCTATCCTACGTAGAAATTTGCCATTGTCTTCGTGCAACATCGTCAGTTCGGATGTCTGCGATTTGCAAGATCTGTCGTGTTTCTTATCGGAACGAATGTCGCTCACTTTACACGTCTCGCATTCTTTCTCGTTCCGAACACTCGACAAGCTAATTGTATCTCGCATTTCAAGCCTAGAATATAATTATTTCATTATATTTAATTATTTAATTGTATTTAATTGTTACACAACAAGTAGTTAATTGAAATTAAACAATTGTATAACGTCAAAACACTAAAACGTCATCATTCACCATGCTCTGACTTGCTCGCGCAGTTCCATCAAATTGTTCTCGTGTATACTAGCAATGTCGTCTTTAAGTTTCTTCTCCCACATGTCGATTTGTCTTCGAAAGTCCGAGCAAACCCTCGTGCTTTGCTTCTCCAAGACCTCCAGGTGTCGCTGAATATTATCGTAGATCATCCTCGTGTTCTCCATCTCATCGTATATTCTCTTCTCCGCCAATTCCCATTTGATCATCTGAGCATTGAGCCTCTTTTCGTGGTCGTTACGCCAACTCAGCAGATCTTTCTGAAGAATTTCGCATTTCTCGTGACTCGGGCATTTCCGCGGGCTCCGCTGCTTCTTCAGGACGACGATCTCCTTCTCGGCTTGGGACAATCTGCACTTAAGCTGTTCCACGGTGGTCTTCAAGGACTTTTCACGGAGACCACTTATCGCTTCGTCATTGTCGCCGGAAGCTTCCGCCTCTGTAACACACGCATTCTTGTGTGACACAACACGGATTAAAGCACATTTTGTTTGTTCGCGCGTTGTTCGACATCGCGAAACGCTAATACAAACTCAAGAAACGTAAAATAATAAGAAAGATATCTAGCTCTTTTAGATATTTAATCGAATAATAGCAATGTAATTACGAGATCGCGAGAGAAACGTCTCGGTGTGTAAAATATACATTTTTATCTTCTCAATAAATGAAAAAAAGAACGTAAAATAAATCAATTTAATTGATTATTTTAGCCCTTAATCTGCGTAAGTCTAGTCGATACGCAGTATCTTTTTATTTGCTCTCGTAATATGCGGATTGAGATACGTGAGAAATAACAAAGGGAACCTACAGTTTTAAGTGGACTTCGAACCACTACGAGACTTACCAGAAGTCTCCCTCGGCAAGAATCGTGTTATAAAACCTCGGTAGCTTGCCATCGCTCTCTCCGAGGGAAATCGACCCGAAAAAATCCCGATAATGGAGATATAATAATTATAATATTATGTAATATTATAATATAGTATATATTACATATTATAATATTATGTCGAAGATATAAATAATAGTATCTCCGACGATCGGAGATTCGAACCCGGATCTTCCGCTCAGTAATCTCCGCACAGATCGCCTGAGCCACGGGCCGATTTCGATTCGAGGTGCGTATTAATCCGCAATATCGCGCGACCAATAACAGATTGCACCGCGCGCGAATTTAAACAACAACAATAATTTGCTTTACTTCTTTCATATTGGTCGTGTTCTTGCCGAATTTGCTCGTTTCCGAAACTATCTGTCACCGAATCGCCCTTCTCGCACCTTGAAATGTCGAGTCTGTCTGTCGGTTGTTCCTCGCAGGATGTTATCAAGCTAGAGACACTTTCTGGGGTCTCACTGATGGTAAAGGTGCTAGATGCTTTTTTGCAACATAAAATTAGCTCAGATTCTTCGTCGATAGGCGACAAGCTGAGAATTTCCTCGAAAGCTTCCTCGCTTGTTTGTACACCTTTTACATCGCTTTTGACGCGTTTGTTGTCAGTTTCTGCGTTATTTTACGTAGATTATTAAAATAAAAAGATATCGTATGTAAAATAATATTCAGAAAATCTGATGCTTTGGTATTCTACTCGAAGCACGTTGTAACCTTAAGCGAGAAAAATATATAAACAAGCTAACTAACCCATAGTTAATTCATGTCACACACACACGCACACACATGTACACAGTGTTGTGTTTAGGAAAATTGTTTCGCCCGTGAATTTTGCCAGATCTCTTCTGCCTTTTCTCGCGCGTTCAACTACGTATGTACCCCGACGTTGACAAAGATAACAATCCACATTTTACTGCGTTTCTTTAACGCGGTCGTTCGGTCGCGAAAAAAATGGAAGCGACGTCGATGTGCATACGACGACGAGAAGTGAGGAACAAGAACAAGCTTAATGGCACTGTAATTCCGGTAGCGGGCAATTTTCAATTTCGCTGACTCGCGCGGAAGTAGCTTTCCCACCTCGCGTGGCGGAATTGAGACGTGTCGCGTACGCGTCACTTGGCACCGAGTCGGATTTGACACGGACAGCTGTTCACATTGGACACGTTAGAAACACCGTAAGGGAAAGGAGCGAATTTCCCCGTACAGTCCGGAGAAGAAGCCTCTGAAACCCTTTCACTGCTTAAAGCCGAACGACATGTCCGTCACACTTGAAACATAAACGAAAATGTTTACTCACGATTTTACGTATTTAGGTTATTCGATTTTTGCGGCGGTTCTCGCGATGTTCGCTCGGTTCGCCACGCGGTCGTTTCGTTTTTTTTCGCGAAATGCGCGCGCGTGGCGAACCGTAAACGCTGCATATGAAATTAAAATATTAGAATGATTCGCGCGAGATAACGAGCGCCCGAAGCCCTTCCGACCGATATCTTGTAGTTTTGCGGATGGGGGAAAGGATCGGCCTGCGTGAGAACACACCTGTGCGGCGACCGGAGCGAAGTACATAAGCAACGAACAAGAGCGGCGAGGAAGATAAGGAAGAGTAACGAAGGCGTTGTGTATATGTATACGGAGAGAGAGGAGAGAAAGAATAAACGCAAGAACAGTAAGGAGCCAAGGAGTCACACGGTGCGTTATGGGCATAGCGGTCCTAGCGGTAGATACCCACAGATAAACGCGCTCATTTGCATCAGCAGGCGCATAAATGAGAAGCAATGTAGCGCGATATATATTGCGGTGTATGGGGGATAAGTAGGTAAACAAATGCAAATTCTTGCGCATCGATTCTTCCGATCGAAACAAACACGCGAATTAGGTACTTGCGCCGGAGTCAAACCTATTCAGGAGTTTAATATACGATTTAATTAAAACACACACATAGACACACAAACAAGTTTTCAACGCGTTCCACATTTGATACGAACGTGATGTAAATTCTCTTGCTTGTTTTTTTAAACAATTACGCGTTGCTGTATTTTATATACGTTGTTTTTACGCTAAGTTGCGAAGAAATATACTTTTTTTACTTATATTTTTTTAATTATATTTGTTACTTTATTTGTATTTATATTTTTGTCAGAGCATTCGACAGAAAATATTATATCGAATAAAATGTTTTTTTTACCAATTTTCCATTAACATCGGAAATAGTTTTAATGTATTTCATTTCGTACGACATAGCTGATTAGATACTCGCTTAGCAAACTTCCATGCAAATAAGAAGAAGTGGAAACGGTCTGCCATTGTTTTATCAGTTCGGTGGAATGCCAATAACGGAGGTCGTGAGACTGCTTGTTAGCAATCGCGAGAAGATCTCGGGGAAGAAGAGAAGAATTAACGAGCGTTAAGTTACGCGATTGTATTTTGTTTTGCCGTTACCCGGTTGTACAATCGTAACGATTGAAAAAATAATATCAAGTTGAAACGCGATTCGCGAACTCCCGAACTGTGCGTTCATAAAGTTTCTCGTAAACGAATTGTACACAAATGAGAGAGAGAGAAAGAGAGAGATACAATAAAGAAGAAAAACAACCACATCATATTTTAATGAGATTTCGTTAGCACGTAAATTTGCGATTGAATTTGCGTCCTCACCTAAATCGTTCGCTTTCAAGTTCACCTGTTGCAAAACGGACATCGACATCCGGTTATTACACGGGACAATGGGGCAGACGCGCGATGAACCACGCCGAAAGTGACTCATCTATTCCGCTTCGGACGGCCACCTTGAAGACGACAACGTCCTGTTCAACTAATCCGAGAACGAAATCATCAAAGAAAACCGCAAATGAGAAGAAACAATGCTTACAATTAACTTGCCGACCGTCTTGCTTAAATTAATTTTATAAGGATGTATTTTCGCTGTCTGTGGAAAAAGAAGTAGCCGATGACTCGAAGCCGATTCTTCTCAATCCAGGCCAGTCTATTCTTCTGTGACGTATTTCGATCTTTCCGCCTCTACAATGATTGAATTTTCGCACTGTTACGTGTGACCAAATTTGTAAAGGTATTGCAATTTTGCAATCTTGCAATTTTCCAATTACAAAACTGTTTATTCAGTACAGAATCTGATGTGCACGACGTATTTTCTCGATTGTCGTCATTACGCCGAAGTAAACGAAATCGACCGTTAAATTTATTCCGCAAGGTTATTATTGTGAGAAAACAAACATTAACATTCAATGACGATCCAACGTGTTCCAATTCAAACGCGTCGCAAAAGGAACTGCACGACCGAATGCATGAGAAGCGTCTCATAAATTGGACTGTCATTTTAGTTAGTCTTATCTTATGCCGATTGCTTGAGTAAAAACTTTGAATGACGCAAAAATAAATTTCTTTGTGAGAAACCGAAGATCATAACGGTAATAAATATCGGTATCGACAATACACACACACGCACGCACACACACACACAGAGAGAGAGAGAGAGAGAGAAAGTTTTCAGAACCTCATTTACGCGAACGAACGTCATCACTGAGAGATTGCGCGATGAGATATTATAATGTGACACAAACTGTCAAGAACGCGTAGAGCTTCTTGTCGCAAAGACGCGCGGACCTGTCAGAAACGCCGCGGTCGATAAACGGACAGGAAGGATATTCCGAGAAGCCATCGCGGGGATGGAGAAGGAGTTAACAGTATCATACCGATGCGCTGCCGATGCGACTATCTTGCCGCAGTGGTACCCACGATCGAGCGAAAATAGCGACCGTGAAATCGCGATACGACGATACTTCGTGTCCGTATAGAATGATTAGAGAACGACGGGGAAGTGATTCTCACGCGAGACTCGCTTGTGATCATCGGCCTCCGTTCTTGCCGTCTTTCTTCGTTTGGATCTTCGCTCGGAAGTACGGACATATTCAAAGCAACTGTTATCTCAACTTTTTGTCAATCACTATGTATCGAATAAAAACTTGAGTTGAAACTTATTAGCTGAAAATTATTATAAGTATCAAAAATATTATAAATAATTGAAAGATCACATTATGGGGAGATCATGAAATAAAGAATTATTTTGGACGATTTATTTCGCACATAAGCTGCTGCTCGAAGAAAAAGATCTTCTCGAAAAGAGACTCGTGTCCGAAAACATCTTTCATTACGTAACTATAATTGTGAGGCGTGATCGGGAAAAGGCAACAGCGTTAAATGAAGTTGTTTGCGGTGTAGATCGTTGTTGGATCTACAACGTTTAAGGCTTGCAGGTACACACGTACACCGCGCCGGTCTTTTAATGTAGACATTGAGTCGCCAGTGTGATGTTAACGTGGATTATAGAAGAAATACAGACACGTTTTTCCACATGAGCACGGGTGTGCGCGCGCGTTCCCTTCCGCAATTTATGCGGAATGCAGTCCCAGGCGCCACGGAGAGCCCTTATACAATGAAAGCAACGTATGGAGGAAGTTGTGCGGAACATTTTAAACTGTACCTCGCGCGCCGCCGCGCGCGCATTTAGCTGTTAATGGAACACTACGTGCTTCCATTAACAGTTGAATGGGCGTTCGTTTTAATTGTACGGCGTTCGCTATTTTTGTTTTGTTTTGTTTTGTTTTGTTTTGTTTGTCGCACGCGATACGGCGAAAACGCTGATTGTTTTCCGGTAGGTAATTTTCGCACTGTCGAAAACCGAATTACAACCAAGACACACACACACACACACATGCGTAAAGTAAAAAGAGTCCAACACACAACAATTATCTGATATAAATATTATTACTTGTATTATACATACATGTACAAATTAATTATTGATATACGGTCATATTTTAGAAACTTTAATATACTTATACACTCATTATACATATAATACATAACTTGAAAGAAAAAACATTTCTTGAAAGAAAAAACATAACAGTTTATACCGTAGATACGTATCACAGTTTTCCCATACGAATAAACACATGGTTTTCTGTTTTTTGCATAACGCTTATATAAATTATAATTATTGTACAATAAAATATTTTCGACAAGTTTGCGCGTTTTCTCCAATTTTTCATTGGCATGGAGGTTTTACGTGCGTGCGGGTTTGCGTATACGTACGTTGGAACATTTTATTGCACGATCGGCGATGGCGCGCGGAGATTGGCGAGGTCCTGAGATCGCGGCGCGATAAAGCGTACGTATCAGTAAACTGATATTCTCCACACGAAGAGAGGCGCGGGTGAGAGAAGAACGAGCATGTGGGTGAAGGCTGGAGGGCTCTCCAGGATGTGTCGAAAGTGAAACTCAAGGCCTCGCGCGGCGTTTCGTTGTGTGATGCATGCACATATGCATGACCATTGTCCGCCCTCGTACGGGCTCGATCATAGTCTGCGATAGGCTCCGATCCAGGTCCTTGGAACGTCTGCGTGGTTCGGCTCTGCTAAACGATCTCGAATTCTCAGAGACGAAGAAGACGCTGTTCACAATCGCAGAAACTCAGAATGAGCGAGTTAACGAGTTTTTTTCTCAGACGAGCAAAGTTCTAGTACTTTTTTGTTTCAACACTTACCTCGACTCTCGCAAAATCATTAAAACGGCGATCCTTACACCGCGTGCTTGCGCGTGCTCGGTAGGAAACACGTGAGGAGTATGCATACTAATAAATAAATAATATATTTGCGTGCGTGAGAAATAACTACCTTGTGAGATTGTAAAAACAATTGTTGAACAAAATACTCACGTCCAGAAAAGCACGACAGGTTAATAATCGGCGATGCGCAGCCGTACTCGAGCAAAACGGGGAAGATGAAATTGCCCATAATGGATCCGAGTCTTCCCACTATCATTTCCAGACTCACCGCCATTGCTCTGACAAAGAAAATAATATGAGCACGCGTGACATTTGTGGTACTTTTTATCTTTTCGAAGAGATCACGGGCGCAATTCCATGATCCGTAAATGACAAACCTTAAAGACGTGGGAAAGAGCAAAACAGTCGCGCCGACCAGAATGTTGTAAGTCTTGCTCAATAAACCGAGGTACAAGCACGTGAGAACAAGAGTGGTCAACGAATTCGGTGACCAAATTAACGATATCACACACAGAAGTGCGCATCCATGGGAGACCACTGCGTTGCGAACAAAAATGATTAAAAATTCGATAGTTTTTGATGTACATAAGAATGAAAAAACCTACTGGCGAGATATTTGTGTTGGAGGAAATTGACGAAGATGGTGGAGCACAATATGAAAACACTAGAAGAGGTCGATACGATAATGCTGTCTATGTATATCGAATCTGGCACAGGAATCTGAAATGAAATTGAAAATTCAAGATTGTAAGTACACGTTGCAAATTCGCACGTCGTGTGAATTTCGACCACATAAGCGTTGCATATTACATTCTCACAACTCGCTGTTCCATTTGACGTGGCAATTTGATTTGCATTGGCGGACACCGAAATGTCGAGTAATTCGCAAAAAGTAGGATTGGTTACATTCGTGCGACTGCCGATATCTTTTATCGTCGCGAAGAGTTGCGGCTGCCACAAGCGAAAGGTGTTCAAGCTGTAAACAGGAAAAACGAAAATGATCAAAAACAAAATCGAATAAATCGAACACACAAAAATTAATGCAAATGTCAGGAAAGTTGAAGTCATTAACGTGTGCAAATATTTAATGTACCGCGAATGTCGTGTGTCATAAAGTACTCGATAATCTCGAAACTCTGTTTTCTTTTTATTTGCATATTCAGAGGTGATGTTTGTTAATTCAATAATAATGTTTTTCTCTTCAAGCACAATTCAATCAACTTAATCTACCATGTATTTATCTATCTCTCTCTCTGGTTTTCTTTTTTGCTTTAATTATTCAACCAAAGAGATAAAAGTTATCCTCGTGACACACCTGCACCTTACAGGCGAAAACGCGAGAACTCGTTTCTTTTATAATATGTCATATTGAAAATAACACAATCTAAAAACAATCTTGCTTGCTTTTGTTATCAACGTCAGGATCTACGTCAATGGAAAAGTTTCAAACGAGAAATTGCATTGCCGAGAGAACGAGAAAGAGTATTTAATTTAATCGCTAACTGCACAATTAAATCCGATAAACGACGCCATTTGATTATCGTTACAACCGGTCTGACATCCTTCAATTTAGTAGAAGACTTTAGTAGATTTCTGTAAACCGAAAGAGGAAGAGAGAGAGAGCGCGGTCTCTGTGTAATCAGCGTTTTATTTTTGTCTCCCCGTCTGACACCCTTTAATTTAGTAGAATAATTTAGTAGAACCACGTGCGCGTGATACACACATGCGCGAAATCCGATGTCAATGTGTATTCAGATAATGAGAATACATCTCGACGATATGAGAAGGGGACAGATGTGTCATATCACCTCGGCGCTGATAAACTCGTAAATTTTCTCATGTCTGTCATTCAAATCGTCAGCGCGAGATTTGCACAACTAACTGAATTTCAAACTTTTACGACTTTAGCCGTCTGTCTTGTTGTGTCTCGCGCGTAAAAATACAAAAAAAAAGCGCGCGATATTCCAGAAGAAGAGAATCGCGCAAGATACTCTTTGCCATTATTGTCTTTGCCCTGCTACTTCTCTGATCGCTCGTGTGATTTATGATATTCTACGCTGCGATAATGTACAATGTCATTTCGTAGGTGTGTTAACGTATATTGTGCAGTTATTAATAAAGAATTCTAATAAAAAGATTATTTCTAATAAAATTTCTAATAAAAAGCAACTAAATAAATAAAATTACGTCACTGAAGACAGCTCATATAAAAAAGATTTAGCTTATAAAGAGACTTGTAAAGTTAACATAAACAATTAATCGAGTTACTCACCATAACATCCCGCAAAATTGTAGAGTGACAATTAACAAAATACGAGGCAGATAAGGATTTGTGAAAAGCGGCTTCATTTGTTGAATTCCATTACTTAGGCACGACTTGGGATCGCTTTCAGAATCCGATGACTGTTTTGCGTTATTTAAGTTAACATCGCCCACGGCACTTATCTAATAATAAAGAGAGAAAAATATATAGTACTCTTATTCTCTTGCTGTTGTTTTTATGCGATTATTACAATGTACATGTACACTCACAGGATAATTGTCTTTAGGCAAACCGGTGTTCATGCTGTAGATCGTCTTGAAGATCTCGAGAGCGTCCTCGTTACGATTTTGCGTCATCAAAAATTTCGGACTCTCCGGAAAGAAACAGAGACACGTGACGCCTATCAGCGTCGGTATTCCGCAGAGAGACAGAAACATTCTCCAGGAATTGTACACGAAGGCGCCATTCCAAAATGTGACCAACCACGGCTGTGGTATCACTAGCCACGCCAGTACTGATGACAATTTCGCAAAACAATAAACGGATTACAAAATTATTCACAAACCAAAGAAAAATTTCATCAGATTCGTCGACCGTTAATAATTATTTGCGTTAATTTGCGTCTTTTCTATATTACACGATTACTTACACACATTGATTATACATCCAAACTGAACGGACAAACCGACGAGAATCGGAATTTTCGTTCTACCTTTGGCGCCGTAGAATTCCGAGCTGTACGCCATCAGAGTGGCATGTGGTCCGCTCACGCTACGTTAGATTTAATCGGTCATTAAACTTTCCGCTGCTCGATGTGTAATAAAATGTGTAACAACTCTGTTTTCTTACAGCAAACCACTGAGAAATTTGAAGAACACAAGCGTTTCCATGTTCTGCGAGAAACCCGCGAGTATGTTGCAGATACTGTCAGCCAGGTAACCGTACAGCACGACTTTCTTTCTTCCCTTGACGTCGGCGATGTATCCCCACACAAAACCACTCAACACCATACCTGTGCGGCGCGCCATTGTCCACATAAAATAATTCGATTTCGTTTTATTACACTTGTGTCAAATCATTGTCTTCTTTCTTTTCAGGAAAGGGAAGTTGTTCAATTTCTTTACGACATCGCGTTTGTTCACTCACCAAAATAAATCGAGCTGTTCAAAAGCCCTTTGTCAAATAACGTCAGTCCCAAATCGCACTCCGCCGAAGCGAGTATCACCGACATGTTAGACGTGTCGATACTCGACGCCCAAGAGGCCGGGATAATCGCAAGACTGAGGAGATATTGAAACTTTCCGATTTCGGCTGCAGCGATCGCCGCTTCGAAGTCCGCAATTTTTTCATTTGACACATCTTCGATTATCGCTGCGCACAAACACACATGATGATTTTAAATATCATTATCATTGTTACGCCACGTTCATTATTATCGTTTACGCCAACAAACATTTGTGTAAATTTTGAATTTATTCCTAAACATTATTTGAATAATTTTGTTCTCTCTGTTTTTGTGTAATAATTTACTTACTCGAATCTCGCTGATGAACTTTTTCGTTCGTGTCAATTGTTTCTGATCTGTTGTTGTCGCACGACATGGCCACGACTCGGGAGAGATATCGGAAGAGACAAACACAAACCATGCATATAATTCGCAAACCGATCGAATGATTATCTCGATTATCTCGTACGCGTGTCGGGTCCTCTCCCGGCTTCCGTTGCGAAACGAGTGTTCGACAACAATGATTAAATAGGTGGAAAACGCATAGGATTCTATGTAATGAGACCTCTTCGAGATTCGCGCACGAGGTGATGAAATCACTCCACTTTCGAAGACGTTTTCTCTCTCTGTCACCTTTTCGAGCTAACCGGTTAAATACCTTGCAAACAATTTTATCACTTGAGTAAATATTCACATTCCCGGTTTGCTGATTTACTATGCGTATATCGCCGCGCAAACAGTTTCGATATTTGTCGACAAGATTCTACTAAAAAAATGGCAATAAGAATTATTTACGTGTTTGCTTAGATGTTGACCAACCTACGAGCATACGTTTAAGAATTTTTTAATTATGTTGTAAACAAAAAATTAATGAAAAATATCTTTGTTTAAGAACTGACGCCAAAAGTCAAACAAAAGTTCTCAAAGTTCTTGTCGGATGAGCAGAACAAGTGGTAGGTAATGTTTCTTAATGAGCATTAAAGTGTGTATAATCTATATTGTCTGATTTTACACACGTTTGAAACACGCGTAGCACGTAATTAGCAGTGTAAAGATGTGTAATGTATTTCTTTTCGCAATTCACAAGCGCAAAGTAAACCATCACGTAACGTAATAACTCAACTACGTTCCTACACTTTTGTGTGGGATATTCGAAGAATGCGGTAGCTCTTTCCTATTGTTTTACGTTGCGGCAAACAGCGCGCGAAGTAAATTCTGAAGTTTACGACTTTGGTTCTCAATCAGCTTCTTCATTTTATCAATCGATTTTAAACGCATTTTTACGTCTTCGTTACATTTGTTGTATGAGAAGATCTTCTTGTTCTTCGATGTACGACGATATTTGTCTTTGGATGTGCTGCGAAAACTGAACGTAGCGTTGCGCAACAAATATCGCAAGTGATTAAGATGAGTTGCAGGTTTCTGACATCGATTTAATTTCTTACAATTTTACTGAAACTTTCATCACGACACAATATCTTCAATATATTTACAATAAAAAGTATTTGACGTACAAATGTAAGCGTAAACGATTGAATGTAAAAAATTAATTTGTAAAATTTGTTTTTATTGTATAATTTATTTTTATTTGTAAAATTTGTTTTTATTTGTAAAATTTGTTGTTTGAAAAATATATAAATTTATTTCCAATTTATTGTAACGTTGAAACGGTGTGTTTTTCATTACAAAAAAACCAACGATTTATTTATTCGTATCTTCTGTACAAACTGCGTCTTGATCTTTGGTGAATAAATAATACAGATTCTTATACTTCATCAGGCTGGATTCACGTGCCTGTTGATACGACGGTGACCGCATGTACTCCATCACCTACGAGAAGAGAAAGATAAAAGAAATCATGTAAAGCTCAGCATATCGCAAGAAGACGAAGTTCGTTTCACCGGAGTAATTAAAGTTTCCTGCATTTGTGCCGCGGAATCGACGTTGCGTGGCAAGTGACCTGCTTTTCGGCCGATGGTACTTTTATCGAACAAGGAGAAATAAAAATCGGAGTTCTTTTTATAAAAACTAAATGAATTAGGGTCAGCGTTGAATAAATATCGTGTACGAGAAGCTACGTGTGTTCGTTACGTTGAAGGTCGCATTACGAATGCTTAGCGCTGATAAAAATCGTTAATAATAGACAACTGCAAAAGTTGGATAATTAACAACATTAAAAATTAAATAAATTGAATGAAATTGCTGGCCCAAATAAAAAAACGTTTTGTGTAAAACATAAAGTTTAAAGTGTAAAGTTTATATACACAAATATCTCTGCAACAATAATTATATTTGATTGTATCAAGTCGACGGGATTTAAACTGCATACCTGATTGTTATAATCGATATAGCCCGTCAAAATGTCACGCGCGATCACACCGCTAATGCACAATAACAATATTCTTTGTATCAATATCTTGTCAATTAACCTATTAATCATGCATCTATATATAAAATAAGATCGAGTAATGTTAAAAATTTTATTAATTATAGTGGGATGACTTACATCTTTAGATTGAAAACTTTTATATCGAGTCTAAATCTTTTTTGTTAAAATTGTTAAAAAGTACAAAACACAGACGTAAAATTTTACACAAATATCAATGTTAAAAGTATTTTTAATTTTTACATATATCTCAATATAAACATATTTTTTGTCGACGATGAGAGTGACCTCTGTGCATTTTCAAAAACAATATTACAAGAAATGTCGGTAAAAAATTTCTTTTTTTTGTTTCTTACAACTGTCAAGTAACAATAATAATTGACATATATTAGAAAGATATGCATATATACTTTTTATCTTAGATAGAGAGATATTGTTAAAATAACATATATGTAAAGTGTAAAAATTTTAAGAGCCGTTTTGCAGGATGTTATGCAGAGAATGTGCTTAAATATATATATATATATGTATACACATATATATGTCGAAATAATTTTTTTTCCTCCGTATAGGATGCTGGATTTGCATCACGTATATATGAAGGATCCCGTATACCCCCCTAACTAATTTTAAAATATTGCGAAAAAAACTCCTCAGCCAGAAGTCGAACCTGGAATCTCCGGCTTTCCGGGCCGTCGCCTTCCCCGTTAGGCCACCGAGGCTCTTATAACTCAATTTATTTCATTCATTAGTTTAATACCACAGAGCCCGAAGAAACTTTTTGTTTATTATTAATGTAAAAATTTTCTCCAGATATTTTATTCGTTTTCATCCTTCGTATAGTTTTCGCTTTTGCGTGAGAACAGATGCGCACGTCGCGCTATCAGATTCGCGCGATAAATTCAAACGTGCGAGACGACGGCAATTGAAATTCGACGCGCGGCCGTCAGACGTCGCCGGTGTCGCGCGACGATGGCGTCCGGTCGATAAACGTCGTGCGTCAGGGTGTTTTCGGAGGCGCTTTCTCGAGACGAGCGCTGTCGGAGCTGAAAATTCGCGACGTGACAGAGGTTGGCAGATCGTTTCCGTGTCGCGAGGAGAAAACGACGATCGGACGGGCGCGTCTGCGATAATAATGTCGCGCGGAACGACGCGACGACGAGGACGAGTCGCGTAATCAGTCGCGCGCGTCGTTCCCGGACCGGGTGTCGCCGTTCGCGGCGCGTTTCGCGCGACATCGTCTCGAAACATGCGTCCGCTGCGAGGCATCGGGAACCGAGCGACAACCGAGGAAGCTCCTTCGAGGAACTGTCAGGGGGACCGACGTCGCCACCACCATCGCCGCCGACGCCGCCACCACCACCGCCGTTACGCGTGAGTCAGTGCGGGATCGGACGGAGGCGACGCACGCAAAATGGCTTCGGGCGACAATGTGGACGTGATCGAGGTGGTCGAGACGACGAACTTCCCCGGTCCGGCGCAGCCTAAAGCGGACCACCTCAAACCGGAACAGTCCACCGTCGATGAGGATTGTAAGTAACCTCTCCGCGTTTCCCGTGGTGATTCTCTTCGCGATCGTTGCGTCGACCTAACCTATACCGCGCGATTCCGGATGCCCGGAGTCAGGCGCGTCGATGTTTGTTCGCTGACGATTATCTCTTTCTCTCTCGCGTCCATGAAACGTCAAATGTCTCGTCCTATTTCTATCGATCGTCCGTACGTTCGTTATTGGATTTTCGCGTACCGTACGGGCGAAGCGACGCACGGGCCGATCGAAGCCCGTTAATCCGTTATCTCGTGATTTGACAGCTAATGGGTGTCACCCGACCTACAAAGCGCGAAACGCAGGAATCCGTGTCGTCGAGGTTGCGCCGAGGAATTCTCTCGTCGCCTAAAATGCATCCCGCGCATATCGAAATAACTCGCGTGCTCCGATTTCACGATGAACGATCGATGAATATGAAGTCCGAAATCCGGCGCACATCGGTTTTTCCCTCGCCGTCTCAAATATAACCTGCAAAAGGGACGGTAGCAGCCTTCGGGACGAGATAAAAATCGTTTCTCGTCGCATTTTCATTCATAATTCAATCGCGAGACATTCGCGCGATCAACAGATAAAGAAATTGATGCACGTTCGACGCACGGCATCTAGCGATGATTTCGATTAATCGACATCTGTTGACGTGTGACGAATGCAAAATACAACATCGCGAGACAAACAGACTCGCGATGTTGTATGACTCGCGTCCTTCGCTCCCGCGAGGAGTTTTGAAATTCCGGACGCCCACCTAATACGGCGCGCATAATTAAACGCGCAGATCACACGCGTCACGTTGCTGAGAAACACTCGGAGATGATGCAAAATCGCAATTGTCGAGAAAAAAAAAAAAAAAAAAACTCCCCGACGATACAAAAACCAACGCAACGCGGCTGAAAAAACTCTCGTGCCGCTACGATGATTTGTTGCCGAGATGTGGAAATTAGTTTGCAACGCGTTATCTGCATTAATTATCACAACGCGCACATTCAAAGTGCGGAATCCAGAGAGTCTTGGGTTTTATTGTGGAAAAATCTATTCCGTCAAAATCATTTATACGCACGTCACACGCGCGTACTTTCTTTTCACTGGCCGCAGTGAAAAGAAAGTACGCAAATGTTATGTAACGACCACGGTATTTAATATAGACAATTGTGGAATTCTATACGATTATGTAACACTACTTTTAAGAGTATAAATATATAAACTTTTGTTTTTAAATATTAGAAGTTAGCGAGATGGGGCGTATATTTTGCAACGAAGCGTATTTTCCGACACGACAGATCGTCGGGCTCTTTAAACACGTTTTTAATGATTTACGCGAAGCTTACGAAATTGTCGCTCGGTAACGACTTTTTTTTTTAATGCGAGACAAACTTTGACGAGGATTTTATCAAGACGCGACGCAGAAGATTCCGAGTCATCGACCGAAGTCAGTTAGCGATCGAGCGTGTACACGGTTTTCGTCTACGCGCGCGTCACCGTCTCCGGCCGTTTGATGATTTTTGTTCCGTTTATAAACTGCGCGTGACGATTCAATGAGTGTGACGATCGGACGCGACACAACACGCGGTTCACACGGCGGGCGCGTCTCTTTTTGCGATTTTCTCGATTGCGACGACTTCCGAAGTTTGACAGCGCGCGCGCGATTTGACAGCTGACGAGACGTCGGGCCAGCAAGAGAGAAAAAACACGTGGAAACTTGAAATTCGCGTGGAATTCGTCGATATCGAGATACTGCGTCGTTATCAGATAATCGCACGATGGTGATGGATTTTTGTTGGAGTTTTGTTTCTTTTTACTAGAGAAAAATAGCACGCGCGGAGAGATAGAAAAGTGGAACTCGCGTCTCTCGCAACCGTATCCGGATTGTTTTCCTTTGTTAGATAGCTTTGCTCTCGTCTGGCGAAAGCTGTTTTTTTTTCTCGCTCAGAATAAATACTTTCCTGCGTGTTTATTCGCACGAGACACATGTTTCTCTGCGCGCGGAGTTCGCGCTAAAAAAAATGCGCGAACCGCGGCGCCCTTCGCTCGGCGCCATCGGTTTTGCAAAGAATTATGTCTCTGTTTTGCATCTTGTCTTTTTAAACATCTTCAAAGTGTAATACGGAACATTGTATTTACATATTCAGTGAGTTTATAATCTCAAATCCAATTTGCACATACATATTTGAATATTTTCACTCGCTCGTTAAATCACCTCTTGGCAAACTTCTTGATTCTCGCGCATTACGCGGTAATGTGTGTTTCAAATGTTACCTCGAAACATTTGATTTTCTGGAACTGCAACAATCGCATTACAGCTATCCAAAGCCGTGCAAACGAGATCTTCTGTGTTTGTCGAAGAGTGCTTTTGTTTTTTCAAAAAGATGAGTAATCTATTCGCAAGCAAATTGGTATTACGTAAACGCGCGCGATTCGTTAGTCGCTCATTGTCAGTCGGAAGAAAGATGATTTCATTGATTCGCTTTTTTTTTTTACACACAAGCGTGTGAAAACAATTATAAAGACTGTTCTGCATGAAAAATTCGTTGTGTACTGGCTTCCGAAATGTTTCTGATGACAATGAAACGCGCGCTGATGTATTTCATGTGTTTTTTTGTTTGTCGGGAAGAACGTTGTCTTTCAACAGAACGACGAATCACGCACATGTGAGTCAAGCTCGCGCGAACGAAAGATGAGAATTTAAAAATAGAAGTCTAAGTAGGGACATCTTGGTGACTCGTTGTGCCCCTATTCCACGGGCTGGCACAGGCTGCAAAGCTTTTTTTATTCAATAATTGCTACTTCCCTACACACGTGTCGCTTTTTCCGTCGCCGCGCTTGATATCGGGCTCGATATTCCTCGCTCAATATTTTCTCGCAATATTTCCAGCCAGAGCGGACTCGCCGTGATCGAAGATTCATTGCGGGGCGAGTTCGCGATTCGTTCGCGATAAGTCCTAATCGTGACGCGAACTCGCGACCAGTGTTTAGCGCTAAATGGCGTTATCTCGCGTTTTCTATTTTGTTTTGCGCATAATTCTTTGGTATACAATAATAAAATGTGTGCAATTTGTTTCTCGAAGATCTGATTATTTTGTGGACGAACAACAATTATTCGTGAATATCGAATTGTACGTTGTATGGTTTAGTTTTTGCAGCCGCTCGTATCGCGTTATCTAATACATACACTTTATCAAACTACACACGTATTTCACTGTATCTGACGTATTTAAAACGCATTTCCGTTTCTTTTGCAGATAAGTCGACCGGAGAAAAAACAACAGCGTTTGACGTAAGTATCGATTATTATTTTTTTAAGTAAATATTTGTTTTTTTTTTTTTTGTTAAAATATATTTCATAAAAAGACACGTTTACTGTTACGTTAAGTGAAAAAATTTATTGTATTTTTTGAATATTTTTCTAAGTAACATTTAATGGCGATGTCTATTCTATTTAAAAGTGATTATCAGCAGTTGCATAAATAGACATATTTTCAGTGTGTGCGCAAGTGCCAGAAGTTATAAGTAATGCGCTTTCATTTCTTTTGCAATTCATCTAAGTGATCTTTTTATTCCCTCCCGTATGTTTTTATACTATTATATTGACCTTATAATGTCATCAGATATAAATCTCCTTTGTGTTCTTTATAAATAATCCGTAACATTTATATATTTATATGTGCACTTATTTAGAGCTTTTATTTAAATAATTTAAAAAAAAAGGAAAAAGAAAATAAGATCGGTAGAAAAAGTCGGTCTTATTTATAGTGTGCCATACGTCTCGTCGTCTTTTAGTTTCTCTCTTTTCATCAACGTTCGTTCTACTTTCCCACAGATCCACGTTAATATTGCAGTTATCGTTAATTGCAATCGTTCGATGACTCTTCCGTAAGTACGTCCGATGTGCAATCGCGCACATTATTGACACTCGAAATTTTCTACGTTGAAAGCCAAATCAATTCTCCGATTCGAGATGAAGATATCAAATCTGTGGATATAAGTTTTTAATCATTTTGATATAAATTTATATATCGTGTTTTTCTCTCAGTTTCTATTTAGCCGCATCCAGGTCTGCGTGTACTCGCGAGATCATTTCTATTCTCGTACGGACGAGAGAATCTGCCCATCAACGGCAATTCACACTCGAGTTGTCCAAGATCGATTCTTGCGCGAACTCTCCGCGAGTAGAGTCAAATTGCGCGTGAAACGGGTTTCCGAATTCGCGACTTCTTCGTGTTAGACGAGCTCGTGTTATACGATCGCGGTCGGCAAAAAAACTGCAAAAGGAAAATTGTAAATCGCTGTTGCGCGAGAACGAGTATCGCGGATATCGCGATTCCATGATCGCATATTTCTGCGAAATGGAAAACTGAACAACCTATCGCAAGCAACATTTAATTTTTCTTGCTCTTTAATTGCGTTATTATTATGTATACATACGACCAAGGACGCACATATCTTCGGTATTTTCTTTGCATATATGCAAATGCATGACAAATGCTAAAGAGAAAAAATAGTTCATGAAAGTTTGGAAATTCTCGTTTTGCGTAAAGTCAATTACTTGTTTCAGAGTTCGGTAGTGCAACATGGTACCACAGGCGGAAAGAACCCCGTGGGGGTGTCGCGAAACAAATCGGAGCGAGAGAGGAAGATCGGTCATCGAAGAGTTGGAGTGGGAGGTGAAATCACGTATAAGAAGGTTCGTAAAGTTTTGAAAGAATTGCAGTTTAGTTCTAATAGATGATTTCTCTCTAATAGATCGTATTTTCTGCTTTGTAATCAATGTTAAAAGCGGTCTCATTAAGTGATGAAGAAAATTGTTAGTAAGCTTGCATTCCGTTTGTGTTATTTTATTGAGTAAAAACAAGTGATAAAGTCATCCGACTCTAAGGAAATATGCAATTTCATTCGGTTATCAATAAGAGCGATTATTATCTGTATCGTTTCTGATTTCGAGCTTATTACGTGAAACTAATTGCACAGAAAACTAAACTTTCTCTGCTACATTATTTTGAAACACGTTATTCCGTTACTTTCTTCCTAATTATCATTAATATATATTGTGAGATAATGCATAATAAATGACGTTCTTTAATATATATATATATATTTAATGTAACTTACATATGTTTTGGATACATTTAGAAAAATGTATTTATGAAAACAATGTTATATATTTTCTCTTATCACACACATAGATCCAAACCACACAAATTATGGGATCTATACAGTTGGGCATACAACATGCTGTTGGCGGTCTTGCGAGCAAACCCGAACGCGATTTATTAATGCAAGACTTCATGACAGTGGAGACAACGAACTTTCCTAGCGAAGGATCAAATCATACTCCAGCCCATCACTTCTCGGAGTTCAAGTTTAAAAACTATGCACCCATTGCATTTCGTTATTTTAGAGATCTCTTTGGTATTCAACCGGACGATTTTTTGGTGAGACGCATCAGAAATTATTTTCTTGCAAAATCTTAAATAAACGCTTTAACACTCTATTATAAAAAAAAAAAAACATTCTCGTGCACATTTAGATGTCAATGTGTAGTGCACCACTGCGCGAGTTATCAAATCCTGGTGCTAGTGGGAGTATCTTTTATCTAACGGATGATGATGAGTTTATAATAAAGACTGTACAACATAAAGAAGGAGAGTTTTTACAAACCTTACTTCCAGGATATTACATGGTATGTTCTGAAAGTGAACTGGATAATTGTTCAGAGTGTACAAAATTTTTTTAACATACGAGAGACTTCGATGATTTTAATAATAATTTTTTTTTTTTTTACAGAATCTAAATCAGAATCCAAGAACTCTGTTGCCAAAATTTTTTGGGTTGTACTGCTATCGATGTAATAGTAAAAACGTTAGGTTAGTGGCTATGAATAATCTTTTACCTTCGTCTGTAAAATTACATCAAAAATACGACCTGAAAGGATCTACGTATAAGAGAAAGGTTTGTAATGTTACATAATTTATTTTGAAAGTCGCGCAAAAACGTAAGAATTTGACGACCATATTTTACACAACACTTTCTAGGCATCGAAAACGGAACGTTCGAAGTCTTCTCCAACGTATAAAGATTTAGATTTCATGGAGCACCATCCAGAGGGCATCTTCTTGGAAGCTGATACGTACAGCGCACTAGTAAAAACTATACAACGGGATTGTCGTGTATTAGAAAGTTTCAAAATCATGGATTATTCTTTGCTCGTTGGCATTCATAATCTCGATCAAGCTGCAAAAGAAAAAGCAGTGAGTATTATGGTTTCTGTAATATTAATATTTATTTATGTTATTGTTTTACACGCGCATATATACTGTGTTATAGCAAGAGCAAAGATTATCAGCGAGCGCTGATGAAGAAGTTGGGGAAGTAGGCGAGTCCGATGGATTCCTACAAAATGAAAGAGAAAAAGAAAGAGAAGATAGAATAGGCGCTACCGCTTTAAATCGATCGCGCAGTATAAATCGTCAAAGATTAGTTGCTCACAGCACGGCGATGGAAAGTATACAGGCCGAGAGCGAACCGATAGACGAGGAAGATGACGTACCGTAAATATCATATTTACATACAATTTTTATTTTCGCACATACATATTGACGTGCCTTTTTTTATTATAATAAAATTTACGTTTATGTTTCCAATAGTTCAGGCGGCATTCCTGCCAGAAACGCGCGTGGCGAACGCCTTTTACTATTTATTGGTGTTATCGACATTTTGCAAAGCTACAGGCTGAAGAAAAAGTTGGAACATACGTGGAAATCGATGATTCATGACGGAGTAAGTAGGAACTACATAGATTTTTTTTTTTCGAGTTCTTATCTTTCTTGTTTTGTTCGCGCGATCAACACATTGTATTAAGATTATTGTAGAAAGAATATTCTTTTTTCAATTACTTTCCTTAGGATACCGTATCGGTTCATCGGCCAGGATTTTATGCGCAACGTTTTCAAGATTTCATGGCCAAGACAGTATTCAAGAAAATACCATCACGTAAGTACCATCCGAATCAACCTGTCTTAACAAGTTTGACTACGAGATTACACTCAGCAAAACTCGCTAATATGTGAGTGAACTCACGCTTACTTACCTTATCGGTAGCTATTGTCTTCTGGTTGATTCCTCGTCGACTTAACGTCGTTATTACACGAGAATTAATCGACTTTTCTACGAAAGTATAAGGCAAAAAAAAATTATCAGCTTTAATTAGGATTAACTAGTCACCGCAAAATATTTTAACGATGAAATAGTCAAACTGTTTACGATAATGATATCATTGTTGTGATATTCAAACACACGCAAACGCTGTCTCGAATTGTATCTTTTTTTTTATTCACGCTTTTGAGACACCATTTCAAAAAATATTTGTTGCAAGGAAAGGGAAAAATGGGAGTAGACAAAGTTAGTTTTTATTATAAAGAAGGCTCAAAGTCAGTACTTAGAGTGGCATACATAGTGTTACATTTATACAATTAGTAAATGTACTCTTATATTGTTACTTAAGAATCATATTCCACAATTTTTATAGAGCAGTAAGCTGTAAGCTAGAGATATATATATATATATATATTTTGTCTTCTTGTTACAATTTACTCTGAAACGTATCCACACAACTCGTCCAATGAATTCACTAGTATATATAATAACATGATCTTTTATCTGGCGTATGACGAGTTTATCGTTTACGAGCCAGAACACTGAGGAGAGTCTGACAAACATGTGTTAGCTTCCACAAATATCTCTCGGTCGTATCTTTCAAGATATTGACGCAAGCGATTCCATTTCTAATAATTCTATATAGTGATTTATACGTGTAAGAATGTTAAGAATGCAGGCCAGCGACTCAATTTTATCTTTACAGATTTTATCACAGATTTAGCCGTCCAGAGATATTCTAATAATTACGATAACATTTATAAGATATTTAAGTGACTGCAGAGAATGTGACAAATATATACCACATGCGGATATCCGAAAAATTATCTAGATACACGATATTTGCATTGATATGATAATGGTTGTGTTTAAATTTTATTAAGTGCCTTGTATATGCGCGCGAAAAGTAACGATCATGTGTCAAATCAAAAGTGTATGTTATAAATTAGCGATATTCGTTCTATACATTTATTCAGCGAATGCAAATACTTAACAGAATTTAATCAAAAAAATAGAATTTTTCGGATACCTGCATTCGTTCAGAATTCAATGCTGTGAATAAGACATTTTTGGGTTTATGAGTGTCAATTGATCATTTTTGGGTTCTGTTTTGGTGTAACTAATTGCTAACACACAATACACATTTGTATATTTTGTTATATATAATTTTCCGCATTTTTTGATAATTTTTTTGTTTTTGGTTTTGTGTGCAAGTTCAGTCTCATTGTACATTTCATATTTTGATCTTTCGACGCACAATAATTTTTTTTGTTCCGATATATTTAGTAAACAGGAATAAAAGAAATTACCGATGACTGGTGTCCACACACAGGAGCATAGCTGAGTATTTTTTATGTGCCAAGATTGCTAATTTTAACTTTTTTCAATCAGCATTTTCATTTACATACATTATATGTTGAGATTGGTGAAAAAGTTGATCGTGTAAAGAGCAAGATTCTTACGAATGTTGCACAAACAAATTCGAAGATCTTTTGCTTTACGCAACAATTTTCTCTTATGATCTAGTCTACGTATAATGTCATGTTAGTATACGGTTATCACAATCTGTTACTTATCGATTGGGACTCGTGATCAATATAGTACTCCATGTGCCAAAGTCTTATAAAAGTTCCCTGCTTAGTATACATACATTAATATAAATTTTGATACGACAAGTGTTTTCCTCCATTTTATCAGTGCACCAAAGCAATCATTGATCTTTTTTCCGCCCATCATACGTAGTCGAAAAGGTATGGTAGAACGCACGAAATACATCCGCGTAATAATTTGCGCAAATTAGTTAGCTCAAACAAAACGAAAATAGTTTTGTAGTAAAACTTTGCGTCACAAAAGTAACACAAGTGCCAAACACAAAATTTCCATTCTTTTCCTTAGAGAACGCTAGTCGAGATTTTGTGCGATCTATATACCAGTAGAAGAATCTCTCTGCGATGTGTGTTGTTGACGCTATCTACTTTCGGCAATGGTAGAAAATCGTAGAATCGCGTAGGTGTAACGATTTATTAATTCGGAAAGGAAGAATGCGAGAGTGTGAGAGCGAGAACACAATCGGTAGAGATAGATATTTATCTTTTTTTATTGTGAAAATATTCAGCTATTGACTGAATGTGGGCACCGTTGTACATATTTATATATTTTGCAATAAACATTTTTCTCTGTTTATACAACTTCATTTCATTTATAAGCCCACCCGAACACTTACTGTAGCCAACACTTACTGTAAACCCCTCGTACCATTACTTCTACTACTATACTGTAATCCCCCACTATGTTACAAACTACTATTATTATCTACTATCACGTAATACCGTCATCATTATTGACATTTTCGTTTACTGTAATTTACATTCCCTTGTAGTTTGTTGATTTTTAAGTTCTTGCACTATCATCGCGTCACACTTGTATATCCTGCGATGTGTTTGTTGTTTGTGTTACATACATTTGTCTTTTCGTTGGTCAATCATCAGTTTATATATTTCCATTTGTAATTTTAATGAGATTTCAATTGACGGCCCAAAAAAACAACATTTTAGAAAAAGTCATAATATGTATAAAATTAACTTAATTAGATAGATTATGTCACGTTTTAAATATGCAACATATGTTTACATTAAAGCAGCATCAGCTTGACAGTTTTTTGTGATAGAATCTACGATGATTATGAACTTTTTCTGTCCGAAAAAAAAAAGGGAATGAGAGCTTCAATCGCTTTGTGTTTTCAACTTGACACGTTTGGAAACTAAGTGTTCCCTGTGGCTTTCTTTTAATTGTTTCTATTTATTCTCGGCAGTCTTTATAAGTTTGTCATTCGTTCTCTCAATTATATATACATATAATCCGGTATATATACATACTCGTATCGTATATACGGAGAGTTAGCTAAATGTTGATGTTTCTGTGTCCCGTGCACTTCTTTCCGTGTCGACTCCCAATGACCTGATCTGACTCTGCTACTGATCGAAACTTGAAAATCGATTACCAAAAGTGGATCTGCCTGAGATTAAGGGGAATCATCGCAAATTCCGTAACCTCGTCACCAGCTACATAGGTAACTCTGTCTGTGTGTGCGTCCATCTGTCCATTTTTGTACGAATGTACTTATGTGTGTTTTTTTTTTTTTTTTTTTTTTTTTTTTTTTTTTTTTTATACGATCTTTTCCTGTTTGTCTTCTTACGAAAAAATCTTCATCTTGTTTCGCCTTCGATATGCAAATGTAATATGCAATTTTATCTTATTTTACATTTTTAGTACTAGCATTATTTTACATTTTTAGTAAAAAAAAAGTCTAGAAAACACATTTCTAAGACATTTTTTTACTCAATTACAATTTTTGTTGATGTTTGTTTTAATGAGATGCTTTATTATGATGTTAAATTTCTTTGTGCATGCAGAGTTAATATACGCGAGGAACAGTTATTGTTTGTTTTGTTTTCACTCTAATAATAAATTTAAAAGAAATATTTTTTTAAATTATTTTAATTACACGTTTGAAACTTTTTTAACAAACTTCTTTGTATCTGCATTAATATGCTTGTACGTATGAATTTTTTTACAAAACACTCGTTTTATTCGTATTTATAATGAATCAAATTATTAAGCAGCGAAATTACATATGCGAATGAATTTTTCTCGAACATTTTTGTAAGTGTGCTTCTTGTTTTTTCTATATACATATTTTTTGTCGCTTTTGCAACCATTGCCTGTGAGTGTCGCCTGATACACGCATATTTTTGTATCATTCTTTTACACTTTTTTCTATATCCCAACAGTTTATATTCAGACGTATATTTCGCAACACACAAAACCCCAAAATCTTATTTTATCTGGGTCGTTCTTTTCTTATCCGAGAATGACTAGCAGTATTCGTTATTCGACACAAGTTAACTCTACCTTTTCCTGTACACTGTTTTTGCAAAAAAAAAATAAAATAAAAAGAGTTTCGCGTTTGTTTACTTGTATTTTCGAATTCCTCCACTCAATTTTCTATTTTTTACCACACACATCTGCAACTCTCTTCCTCCCTTACCCTAAAGGATTTCTCGTCACATATCGATATCGTGCAGCAATTAGTTTAGCCTAGACATACCCTTATAATATCACGGCACGGACCGATAGTTCGATAGATCAACATTTATGCAATTAATAAGATCTATTTATTACGTATATGCATATTTAAAATATATTTCTACAGATGCCAGCACAATTCTCATGTACGTACTTTTATACTTTTTATGTGATTAATTACTAGGCATGGATTAAAAACAAGTAGTATTATACAAGAGACACCGTTAATGCAAGCGAGGTTTATATATAGATGTTATAGCTTGATTATATCTTCACTCGTACATACATACACTATGTGTATTAGATATTCTACATCTGCAATACATACATGTATAACGTAATTACAAAAAGAGAGAAAATATTTACATACATGTACACGAACGTTTTTAGCAAAATTGTAGAATAGTAATTAATAGCTCGAAAAAAAACAATATATATTTAAATCGTGCTCGGATTTTGTAAATTATATTTGTATAGTATTACAAAACCTCAATAGGACAAGTTTTGCAACATTTCAACAGTTACATTCGTAATAATTGTAAAACTGCTAAAGAGATAAGACTAATATTTTTTTTTTTATTCTTACTACGATAAATGATGTCAGCTTTTGTAGCGTAATATATAATACAGCTTGAGCTGTTTGTGGTAGGCATATTTAACAGTGCAATTTTTCAGAGCGGTTTTTTCTTATAAAAAACATAACTCGATGTTCAGTTCGTATACGAAGAAGTCCGCGCAAGAGGTTACAACATCGCACGTTTTATGTTACAGCTTTGAAACATTCCCCATCAAAGAGAAAAAGCATCACCAGACCGCTGAGGCCGTTGGAGGGTGACTTTGATTCAACCGGTAAGTCTGATGCGTTTCAATTTAAACAAATTTTCAATCTTTCTTTGTTATTCCAACGTTTTTTACGCTTTGTGATATCACGCGAGAAATTGATCGGTTTTCGGAACCTTCATTCAAGTATCGAGTTTTCAAGTCATCATTTTTCGTGAAATAAATATGAAAACACTAGATAGGATAAGTATTTGTTAAAAGTTAATCAACTCTGACACATCTAAGATCATGAAAGTACATTACGGAAGTATCAATTAATTTACATCGACGGGATCTGAGTATATGAAACACGTGAGCGTCGCAACTTGAAATTTATACGTTTTTGTGAAAACAAACAAACAAAAAAACGTGATTCCGAAAATCGTAGAAGAAATTTCGACAAAACGTTTTTTCTCACGGTTTCTATTATTGGCTTTGCGCTGGACTTCATATGCGTAGCCAGGCACAGCGATCAGTGCAGTAAACTTAGTTGCGGCATTTCCACGTTACCCGCTTCAAAAGCATTCACGACAGTACCGATATATGAAGACATCGAGGATTCTAAGTGAAGACCCGTCCAATCCCGCGAATCTCTTACCTTCTCTCTCGTCTTCCTTCTCCCGAATTACCTTCCCAAGGATACTTCATTATGTATATACGAAGAGTATGTACATCTACTATATATAAGCTCTATATTATATTTATCTATATATATTCTCTATATTTATTTATATATATAGTAGATTTTATCATTCTCATACTTAATTCACATTTAAAGATATGTGCGCACGTATAACTGAAGAGTAATATATTTGTGAGTTTTTTATCCCAATTAAAAATTTACATAATTTTATTCTTAGATTTATGGAATTTTGAACTTTTTTCAAGTCAAGATATAATGAATTTTATTAACTGATGTAAATATTAAATTCGGAATTTCACTTTATTATATTGTGTATGTAATAGAAATAATAATTTTTTTACACCGTAGTAAAGTTACAATTTACCTGACAAAGTAATTTCACGTATTTTATCAGTGCACTTTTTAAAATCTCTCTCCTTTTTTTATCTTCTTCCTCTCACATCCTCATAATTAATCCGTTCACCGTTGCAATCGTTCTACATATATGTACAGCTTTATCGTGAATGTCAGTCGGATGTTCTATATTTTCCTGTGATACGAGCGTACCTTGTTCAAATCCTGGTTCTGTGTCTCCGGAACTCTCTTTTGGCCAACGACATGACAGAGAAACTCAGATCGCGCGATTTCCAGTGAGGTTTTGCTTTCATCATGCTTCGCCCACGCTGCGCGAATGAGATTTGACGCTTGAGAGAACGTAGAAAACGGCGAAAAGTTTTTTAACATAAAGAGAAGAAAAAGAGAAAGAAGGATGTGAATTATTTAATTAGAATAAATTAAAATCACATATCGATGCTACAGACACACAGAAAGTGATTGTTGTTACTCAATTTTACAAAATACGACGATTTCGAGAGACGCAAAATTTATTTCGCATCTGTAGCATCGAATAAAGTGTTTTTACTGGCACATTGATTTCAAATCCTACGATAAAAAAAAAAAAAAGATTTTACGAGATCTCGTGCTTGGAACGCGCTTTTGGCACTGACTGGCTTTCATGTTTGGTCAACCTCGGAATCCGTGGCGAGTTTCTCTGTCCGGTTAAATACTGGACACATGGCAATACGGTAATGGTACATGGTGTTATATGATGGTTTAGCGGTGGCGGCAACTGGAGGTACGACAGTGCATGCTACATCACCTACGAAGGCCGGTGAGTCTCATATACGATCACTTATTCTCGTAATATATTGTATACGGTTATTTTTATCGCCAAGTGAAACTTTTCTCAAGATAACATCGCGATATCGCGAAATTATACTTTTTATCTTTTTGTGTTACGCAGCACGTATGTTTTTTTTTTTTTTTTGTTTTTTTTCAAAAAGTACAACTTTCCAATTGAAATCATTTTCAGAAGCTATATCTGTAATCATAAATTTCTATATTTTGTAGCGTGTATCTAAACCTAGTTGAAAATCAATAAATTAAAAAAACGATTCTACTGATTCAATCGATTTTGTGTTGCAACAATAATTATCAGTCGCGTATCATTTGTTGCTTAATTGAAAATAATGCAAGATAATAAGTTCTCAGTCGGGCTGTGCAACGTGAATTCGACATATTCGTAATATAAACTCGAGAAAATAAATAATACTATGTTTACGCATGTAATTGCATACATTGTGACAACAGCAGCAATGATGAAGTGCGCTTTGGCGCACTTGCTTCATCCGTTTTCCTCACCTTTTTCTATTGCACTGAACCTTTGCTCACTCGCGCGCGGACATGTACCTCATATCACACACAAATATAAAATACAATATTTACAAAATGCTGCACTTCAATCGTGAAAAGCCCATAGCGAAGAAAGAATCGACGTTGCACGGTTCCTCAATCATTCGACTTCTCTCATCCGGCTTCTCTCTGTTTCTCTCTTTTCGCCTGCCTCTCTCTCTCTCTCTGTCTTTTCATCCCCGCGCCATCACGATGCCTGCACATCGCGCGACTCCCCCGTTCAACCTCCCTCGGACACGGACGCCTCGAACAACCTCGAACAAACACCCACCTATGTGCCAGCAGTTAGCCCGCCCGATCCTGCAATCAGCGCGACGCACGCGGCGGCGATCACGAGCGGCACGATGCCGATTGCCACTTCGACCCCGGTGAATCTTGCCGCCGGTCCGCTCAGCCCACCCCCGCTGAGCGCCGCTCGTGAAGGTCCGCATCACGAGCCCGGGGCCGCGCCCGCGGTCAAGGTCACGAGTTATCCGGCCGTGCTGAAGGGTAGAAGCGCGGCCAGTCCGCCGAACCCGAACCTGGTGCCGTCCGGCAAGGTCCCGCCGCCGGTTCCGCCGCGCGGCACGGGCGCCTCAAGAGCCAGGTCTTCCGAGGCCGGCGGGGCCGTATCGACAACGTCGTCAGTAACTTCCAGCCGAGGTGATGAAGCAGCCATAATCACGAGATACCGCTTGCATGACAGTTCGAGCAACCTGCACCGCCTGTCCTTACCAGATCGTTCCCACACTTCTACTATCACCGCTATAATGAGCGTGACCTCTACTACTGTCACCGCTGCTACTTCTACCAATGCTGCATCTACTAACGCGACCTTGAACTCATTGCATGCTCGTAAATCGACACTCGACACGTATCGCGCCACACACCGCGGCAATTACGATCGAAAACTTGAGAGCGACCGGCTGAGAATGGACTTGGCACGGGAATGGCATAAGTATGACGACGACAACGACGAGAACGAGGAGTTCGTCAGCGTAGAGAAGATCGAGGACACTTATTTCATTAAGACCAGTCCGCATCCGTTTAGACCCGACAGAGGAATTTACCGATCCGATCGCTCGAGAGAAGATTTTGCGCAAGCCGACAATCGTAAAGTCTCGAAGACGGATGGGAGAAGCAGTGCCGTGACGGATCCTCTGGCGAGGTTCACGTACTCTCTGAACCCGAGTTCGCGAGCTGATCTGATGAATTACAAGATGTCGCGCAAAGACAAGAAGCATTCCGAGACCTATTACGAGAGAATAAAGAGAAAGCAGAAGGAACTCGAAGCGTCCATCACGACGATCACGACGATGTCCTATCGTCAAAAGTCATCGATAGAAGAGTCAAGATGCACAGACGCACCGTCTCGTGCGACAAACAACGTTGACTCGTTTAAGCAAAATCGCTTGAAACTTACGACAAATGAGAAGAACAACATGTTGCTGCAAAAGCTCCGCGAGAAATCTAGAAGAAAAAAACGACTCGCGCCAAAACCACCGAAGAAACGAACTTCCGAAGCTTTTAACGACAACTTAAATGAAAGTCGAGAAAAAACGAAGACAGACGATAAAAAAACATGTTCGAAAATGGATTCATTGGAGGATAAAAACGAGATTCGGAAGAAAAGTAGTAAAAATGCGAAAAACTTGAAAGGCTCGAGAAAACAATCAAGATGCGACAAAACTTTCGTGAAACAAGATTGTTTTTCTGCCAGCAACACTGTCGATCGTCGTGAGAACATTTCCGAAAGCAACGAAGAAGAAAATGAAAGAGGCGAATTTAAAGAAATATTTTCAAAAAGTTATCGCGCGGAAAATAAAGTCAAAGACGATGAGATAGCTCGCGAAAGAATCAGTAAATTCGATCGAACTATTGACGAAAGATTGAAAACAGACACACGTATGAACGAAACTACAAAACTCAATCAGAGTCGCAACGAGAGCGGAGATATGAAGAGAAACAATTTGAGAGATGTAAATCGCGACAAATTCTTAAACACGACGAAACAAACGGATACGTTTATGTCTTCCAGTTTCGACAATATTAGAAACGTGGCAAAATCTTCCGTTTCTGAGAGACTGAAGGTCTTCGAGAGAATTCAATCGACAAACGATGATGGGATGAAAGCTCGGCGAGGAAACGCGCATTTGTTTAAGCAAACCTTTGTGCCGGTTTCAGTCAACAAAACCCAATCGTATCAGAGAAACGAACATCTCGCGTCAAAAACGTCAAATATCGCTAAACACGAAAATCAAACGTTCAAGTCACTTTCGAGCGGCCATTGCAACTATGATCCGCCAAATATTTCGTTCTTGCATACGTACTATCGTAAGACGCGATCGTTCATGTAAAAAGTACATATCTCTTTCTCTCGGCAGCGATAATTTTAGAGTATTACGAAGCTTCGCGATAAAATCTGAGAAAAACAGAACGACTTAAGAAAACTTAATTAACGACAGACGATTTGAAAAAGCCTCGATAACGATTTTCGATCGATAATATATCTGATTTGTTTCAAGTTTGCAATCGTATAAGGAAGAATTGTTGTCACTTTCCGGCCTTATAAGGAAGAAATTACAACTCCCACGTTCTACCTCCGCTTATCACATAAAATGTGTGTTTTTTTTTTTTTTTTTTTTTATTATCACCGCTGCATGGAAACAACGCAACTCTATACGCGTTCTTACAAATTATTATTTTATGCGTATCATTAACCGATCATATATAATAATACATTTTGCAACAATAGATTTTTGACAGTAACCGATGATTATCGAAAATGATAAACTACGTTTAATATCCATTAATGTTCCATCATATCGATAGACATCGAGGGGAATAAATTCTGCTGATTACTAGACACTCATTTCCTGATCTCTTTTCCACGTCTGCGACATATCAATGTCAGTCACTTTTAAAAAAACATCGACGAGGTACCGTTTATGTACAATATAAATCGCTCCTTAAGTTCTGCTCTTTATGTAAAAACTATCATTTACACGATAGTTTGTGATTAATTAACGTCCTTCATAGCTTTGTTTTTTTTTTTTTAGCCGAGCATGCGTTAATTTAATTTTATTGAGCAAATAAACGCAAGTTTGCAAGAGTTAGAATTATGCTAACACACATTGTTGTTATTTGACAAAATCTATTTTCTGTTCGTTTAATCACTTGCGTTTATTTACTCTCACTAGTTGCACTGTATACATATAAATTTATTCTAAATTTTTTCTTTACACAACAATTATTTGTGTTAACAATTGATGATCTTGATGTTCGTGCGATGTATTGTGAAATGCACACACAATGCAAAGAATCATGAATTTGTTCACGAACGTATTTGTCGCATAAAACTTTATATTTTTTTATCTTAGCTACTTAAGTTTTGTTTGCTCTCTCTCTCTCTCTTGCACTTCACATATAGAATAATTTACTACCTTTTAACTTTAGTTCAGTTTAGTTTCTTACAGGTGCTTTATCTGCGACTTTATTTTTATATTCAGCGCGTTTTGTCTTTGTAATATACGAGAAATATATTATAATGATTGTAACAAAATTTTGGAATATGGAAAATTATTCGTGTCGCTTGCTGTTCTTGACATATTGCAACTATATAATTCTAAGTAGAATTTTCTCTTTGCTACGTGTATATATAATCGCGCTTAGAAACTTTGTAGAATTATCCTCACTCTTGTGTAAATATTTATAGCTGTTTACATCCCAAGCTTCATCGACCATGTATACACCGAAAGACAAACGTGCTAATTTCTTTGCGCAATTCGAGCACAATTCTCATTACTTTGAACGCGAATAAATTGGAAATTATTGAATGACAAGAGACGGATATTAACTTTATCTTTTGTGCGGTAATTAAATTTGAAAATTATGTAATTTAATATTGCATATTACGTAAAATATTTTTCAATGTTTTATTTTTTTTTAATGTGAATTACACGAAGATATAGTGTTTTAAAATCAGCGTATTTAAAGTCGTTGTGAGAAATAAATTTATCTTGGAGCTTGTAAAATAAAAAGTAAATTGTAACTCTCCGCCAACGTACGTCGTAACTGTACGAGTGTAAGTTTTCGCTAAACGAGTTTCCCCATCCATCCCTTGCCGCCATATTCGACCCCTGCCAATTATCACAGCGTTCGTCGTATTAAATTAGGGCTAATTGTAGCGCGCCTTTTGTAGGTGGCACCCTTCCTTCTACCTGTTCCACCCCGCCCCCGCCTTTTGACGATGCAGTCCGCTCGAACGACCAAACCTTGGCTTCCGGTGGTCATCTGCAGCAGCCGGGTACCATCCTCTCGAGCAGCGGCCATGCGAAGCAGAACAAAGTTGTTCATCACGTTACCCTCACCAAGACGTATCACGACAGTGTGAGGTACGTACAGATTTGGTGGATGGACCGATCACTGACAAATTGTGTTTATTACAATAGTAAATTTTTTTTGTTGACTGATAAAATACTTACACATATTGTTACACACATGTTTTTTTTTTTTTTTAATAGTTTTTCTTATTATTTTTATTCTAATTCTGATCTATCTCATGCTTATTCTTGCACTTGGCACGCATCTAAAACAATCTTCTTTTGCTTTATCACGGCATCTTCAGGAAAAGGAAAATGTTAGTATTTAATTTTTATTTAAATACACACGATTACACTCGTTCTTTGGTTTTTTCGATATTAAATCTCGAACAAAAAACCTTGATTCATAGTATATCGGACGTGCATTTGGAGAGCAGCGGTAGCGGAAGCGGCAGCGGCGGCAGAGAAACCAAGTCGTCGCTGAGCGTTGAAAGTGGTGGCAGCAGCCGAGGTGGCGGTGGTCTCACTTGGACTCCGCCAGCAGGAAGCGCCGAAGGTTCGACACCCACGTGGACCGAAGGCACGCCGTCCTTCACCGAGAGTTCCAGTAGCGGCGACATAGGTAAGTTGCTCTACGCGCTCAACATCTACTATGGCACCTGAAGACTACTGCCACAAGGATCTATTTCGTCTTCTACTCGTCCCTCTCTTCTTGTGTCTCTCTGTAACGAGAAAATTTGCGAGAACAAACGTGGACGTCACGTTGGCTTTTAATTTTCTATTTTAAACACAAAACGGAAAGTAGTAGAAAATCAAATTTATATAAGAGATTTTAAAACTTCAATCACACATTTTTATATGCAGTTTTTTCTCTTTCTTGGACTGATATTAGTTGCATAATGCAACATAGTCAGATCAACCTAACGTTGATGACCACGTTTAGAGACAATAGTGATCTTAGTATCTCATTGATGTGATATACGGTCAGAAGCACGTGTACAAACTGACTTGTACTACAATTCAGAGTTTCAGTCATGGGAAGATTCAGCACTGAATGCCATGTTTTCTCTAAGTACGCTACGAAACGTGTACAATGTAGTATGTGTGCATTACCATCATCAACTTTACAAATTCATGTATCACGATACGAACATGTAGGTTTCACATTTCAGTGCCAAGTCGGCGATAGATATTTAACTTACATATCAAACGTATCAGATTATGGTGTAAGTTACCACTTAGTTTTGTTTCTTCTATGAAATATTTTTACTGATTTTTATTTCAAACGAGCTTTGTTTGTTGTTACAATTGTTTTTGCAAGCAAAGACTTTTTTTTATCGACATATATGATTTACTGTATTGAAATTATATGTGTATAAAATATGTACATACACAAATATGCGATAATCGAAACGCAAACACTCTGTGCCTGTAACTAGTAATGATATTATTTATGTGCGATAGATCGTATTCCAAGGTTGTTGTTAATAATATCGGTAAGATGCGAGAGAATTTTTGCTCTTATATTCTGGGCATTATGTCACTTTTGTGACACAGAAAGTGACTGCCACCAAAAAATAAAAACCATTAGCATGCATTTTGCGCGAGTTCGCAACTCTACGGCAGTCGCTTTGCGTGCCTTATGCGCTGATTGCGAGAGATTAATTTTTATATCGACAAAAGAGCGAAGAGTCGGTCGAGTAAAAAAAACTATATAATCATTATTCTATCTAGTCCTGTCTAGTTGACTCGAAGGAAGCCTTGTGTTAAGATGCCTGACATATATATAACTTTACGTGAGAGAGACAATAAATAAAGGAGGAAAAAGAAATAAAAACAGAAACACAAAACAACTTCACTCTCTTTCGTCACTCTTTTCATCGAAAGAACCCAGTCTACGCGCTGATTTTATTTTTCTATTTTCACCTGAATATGTTTTTTTGAGCTTCGGACCGTTGCTTGGGACTGAATTTTCAGCTACGAGATAAGTTCCGATCTCTTTTCTATCTATCATCTTTTTTTCACTAATGGCTCGTGCAAGCAGCTAGTTCACACATGCTTGTGGTTATCTTTTCATGCATATTACTATATATATATAGACTAACACAATTTTTGTAGACTGCACGATGTTTCACGTTTCATGAAAAAAAAATTAAAAAATGAAAAATACGTAGACTCCAAACCAATTTACGCCAAAAACATTTATACAGATGCGCTGCGCCATACGCTCTCTCGATAAGATACTTGATTTCTCGGTCATGTGATTTTTAGATTATTTCCGTATAAATATATAGAATTAGTTTGGAGATCACACACTCGCTCGGGACATGTATCTCTCTCTCTTTCTCTCTTTCTCTTTCTCTTTTGCCTATTTCGTTAACGGCAATCTATGAGACTCAACGATCAATCTTTGCACCATGACGATTAACGATAATTTTAGGTTGCCCGACGACACCGATCAAGGGTGCTCAACGTCAGGACGACGGTGGAAGGATCGCGGCCACCGTGGAGGAAGCACTGGCGAGTCTCACAACCGAAATGGTAAGTTTGTTGTATTTTATTCACTGACCGATCGGACACGAGAAACATACAGCTGAAGCAGTAAACAATCACGTTGCAAAAATACACGTTACTTTTGTACATAGACGTTACGATTTTATAAAATCGTTTCACATAAGACTAAGAAGTTTTCGTTACACACAAAAATGATATCGTGAGTGTTGCCGCCGCTGTATATTTCCACGAACAGACGATTTATACGAGACGGTAAGTTTGCTGTCGTTACAGTGACCGATTGATCAAACTATTTTAAACGTGAGTTTCCCCTTCCCTCCATCCCGAGTGTGACATCATTGTACAAAGATAAACGGCGATATGATATTACACAGAAGTCTATCGAACGGTGATTGTGCGTTTTAAAAATTGTTAACGTCTCTTTAAGCTTCTTTAATTATTTTTTTTCAGAGGTGTTTTTTGTTTTTCTTTGTAATATATAACTCTGAATCCGTCAAAGAATCCCGAAGTTAATCGTGATACGCATGGAGCGTCCCAAGGCGAAAAATTTTTAATGCGAAACACCAAGCTCGTTCGAAAACGATGCCACGAAATGGCATTCTCCGAGTGTGCTTCGTGTGTAAAATTGCTTGCGCGAACAAACGCGATGTACGTTCTTCGCTGCTGCAATACGTATTTCAGGATTTTTATTGAAATGTAAACAAACGCTTTTATCGCAAAACTGATGACTGACGAAACGCAGAAGTATGCGCGCATAAGACGCGCGCGTCAGCATGATTTACGTTACCTCGAGTCGTTTTTCGCTTCTCGACAATTCGCGGTCGGACGCGCGCACGTATCTCGGTTCGATTAAATGCGCGATAACTGACACTATAATATTTTTCTACACAAAGAAGAAGAACGTGCGCGGAGGCAACGAAAAGTATCTCGCGTATACAATGATCGTTCAAAAAACTTCCGGCTAGAAAGAGCCCGGGAGTATTTGTATCTTTCAAGAGAAAGAGACGTAAACAGCCTTTCTCAGCTCGTAAAATTCATTCCGACAGAAACGTACGGCCTCTTTGGAACGCTCCATGCGAGAGAGTCGGACTGTCTGAACGCTTTGTCTATTTCCCTGAATCAGGAGATACTGCAGCGCGAGTGAAAATGCACGACTCTCTCGTCGTCGTCCTCCTCCTCCACTAATCTCCGTGCGCAACGTGGGTGATCTGCACCATCTAACGACGAAATCTTCGAGAGAGAAAGGGAGAGAGAGAAAGAGAGAGAGAGAGAGAGAGAGAGAAAGGGAATGAGAGAGAATGCATGCAAACGAATGTGGATGCGAAAGAGGATTGCAGAATGATTAGCGAAACATGGTTTAACCCTTGACTGGTCGCGTTAGAACAGGTTGTTATAATTATTGTTTTAATATGTACATAATTGTTTATTTTTAAATGATAAATTTTGTGGTTTATAATCGGCGCGCTCTGACACTGGTGTTGGCATTGAAAATTTCACACACACTGCTCCGTGCAAAAAAGGAGATGGTGCTTGTATTTTTGACTCTCTTTCTATTTGTTCATCGTTTGTTTCACTTTCCGTTCCGCTATATTTTTATCCGTTCTCCATTCAAGCATCTTAGAATAAAGGACGACTTCTAAGATCGAATTTGTGTCTAGAATCTTGTGGTATGTTTGTTCGCTGTGTATTATTGTAATTAAATTTCTTGTCGCAACTTACTTGATCGCACGACTACTTAAGGGTTAAAAACAAAGGAGGATAATAACATAACGAATAGCTCGGGGATCGAGGCGAATTTGTTAGAAACGAGAGGAATTGCATGAGTGATCGATTCATTCCATTTTGACAACGCGTTCGTGTTTCATTCCACCAATGAAACGTTTGTACTTAACGCGATACTCAGAAAACACACGTTTTACGTGCATTTCGGTAGAGACGCGTTCGTCTCGATCCGCGACTACATATATATAGTATTAATCCGTTATTCACATGTATATCTGTATACATAAAAAAAAAAAAACAAAAAAACAATATGGGCGATTATCTCACTCGATTGTGCTTCCCGTTGCGATAAGGGAAACACTTTCGAATATCCTTATATGGGCATCCTTATAAATCTTCCTGAGTATAGGAGAGTCAATAAATACGTATATATATATACATCATTACGGTTATATATTTAAAACAAAAGAAAAGACAACGTGATAATCGTCGGCCTACAGTACTCGATAACGCTTTTGACAATTGTTCGAAATCGGCTTTGAGAAGCGGTTAAAATGCCATTCCCAAGAGCCAAAATGTTTTTCTATCAACTTTTGAAAAAAGACTGACTGTAAGAGAACAATCTCAATCGTTGTGAATATACATAGGTTCTTGATCGATATATTTTTATTTCATCTTCTAAGCCACGCGGAGAATTTTATTTTATGAGATATTTAAATAATTGAGGATATTTTTCGCAAAAGTAACAAGACACAAATATCACGACATATATTATTAGATCGCAAATTGCGTCGTAAGCAATTTACAAAAGATTACAATTATATCAGAAGTAGATGTAGAAGATTGTAAGGAATTAAAGTTGCGGAGAAAAATTGTGCGCGCAGAATGGCATTTTATTCACTTTTTCAAACGCTTTCACGCGTAATCTATTATCCGCACATTAACTCACGCGTCTCTTTCCTAATCGAGTCATCGCCGTCGATAAATCGATATATCATAAGTTTAAACCGATTAACACTCACTAACACGTAAGAGGTGTGAGATCGTATGCAATGCAAAGTTGGCATTGTCGGTGATGCACGAAAAAGCGGCTGTATATAAGTATATAAAGTAATGCTTGCGCATAGTTCGGCTAGCAAAAAAAAAAAGGCCCGCGCGATTCCTTTTTATTGCGGTATATATATATATATATATAGTGTTAGTGTTATGTACATGTATATCTATATGTGTCTCTCACGTTTTGTCTGTCTTCTGTATGTATCTATACATACACATGTTTGTACACACACGCAAAAAAAAACGTGTGTACCTCGTGTATACATATATTATAAATACAACGTGCGTGTACTCGCAAAGGGAACGTCTCGAGTTGTTCCTTCCGAATTCTGATGAGCTTTGGATTTTGTATAATTTTTACGCGAAATAGATTTAAAAAAAAAAAAATAAAATAACTTCAAATTCGTGCGTGGTAACAAAAATTGCGCCAATCAATTTTTTTGTGGTACATTTGATCATGGCGATCGAAGTGTTTCGGATAATGATAATACACGGAGAAGAATATATTCTTCTCTATTTTAAAAATATATTTGTATCTTAATGAATTTTTTGATTGCCTTAAGTGTGAGAGAAATTAAACTTATAAAATCTGAACCTATTAATATATTGTAAGAGTTACCGAGAGAAAAGAGAAAAGCGATAAAAAAAAAATATATATATATATATATATATATAACACGCAGAGACGTTGATTTTCTTTTTCTTTTTTTTTTTTTTTTCAAACATATCCGGAGCTCATCAGAATCAGAGTACACTCGAAAATGTTGCCTTGCCGGTGTTGTGTTGTAGAAAATAATACGACGCGATGAGGACGAAGTGAGCAATGAAGAAAAAGAGAATTTATATAATGCCGTGTACGTACAATACTCCGTAGTAGCAGAGTATTCAGATATGTAATCGCGTTGCTGTAATAGTACGTGAGAGTGTTATCACGAACGTTTTGAAAGGCCAAAATGTTGTTCAATTATACGTATTATTATTATTATTATTATTACAAAAAAAACGCTTCTCTGAAACGGTCGGTGTATACATTTATGATTGGCGGTAAAATCTCACCGCATCTCTCGGTAACGGGTCTGTTTTGAAGAATTAAGCTCTCCGTCGCGATATATATATTTTATTGAACATATTGTACAACATAATTCTGCATTTTCTTCTGTACCTTAAGCATACATACACACACACAAACAAAACACACATACAATCACATTCCATCATATATAGATATATATAGATATATATACGTATATTTACACACGATGTATTTATTTAATTGATGAATCATTTGTGTGCGGTTTTTGTCGATCTTGATGCATTTCTTTCCTCGTGAGAAAATTTTTATTTGTGTTCTTTCAACGGAACATGTACAACGACGAATAAGAGTAATAATAATGTTACACAAAGAATATTTTTATGAGCTAGATCGAGTGATATTTTATTCGGCGAGAAGTCGAGATAAATATCCACTACGCGTATTATTAAAAGTTTTACCGTGGATGCAGATTTTACTGCCGAGATATATATATATATAATATATATATATATATAGCTTCGTAACACATTGTAGCTTTGTTAACTCGGATATCCTCCGATCGGGTGGATATTTACTATTGTATCACGTAATTGTTAGGGGGAGGGAGAGGAATCCCGATTTTCCGCGTGAACGTACTAAACAACGTTAGCAATTTCAAAAGTGTGATATTTTTTTAACATATCTCCGGTAATTAAATATGAAAATTTCAATTAGCGTTGGCGCAGATATAAACTTGTATTAATTCGCGAGGATGGATATTCAAGGAGAGAAATAAAAAACAAACAAACAAACAAACAAATCGTCGTTAAAATATGTGTGTTCGAGAGGGGTGCTGTGTTGCTTGACAAAAGAAGTAGTCCTTAACCTACCATACGGCGTACGTCCAGTGTTTGTGTGTAAAACGATAGAAAAAATTTGCTTTTCCGCTTTGAAATTGTTTTACCGTGTGATTTTCAGCGATTGATTGTCGCGTGCTCGAACGTCATGTTCCTTCCCGATAATTAATATGAAGCTTTTCTGCTTGCGACATGTTACACGCAGACATTTCTCTGTGTTTTCTACGTGTGTGTGATGGTGCTTACACAAAACTCACGTTGATTTCGTTTGACGAACGTGAAGTAACATCCGTTCTAATGACTTTTCAACTGTTAGTTCGTGTATTGTTTAAACAAGTCAATGTGCTTTGCCAAGGTGATGCAAATTTAGCAATCTCTCTCTTTTCGTTATTACGTAATTATTTGCCGAGAATATTCACCGAATGTGCCAGTTAAACGTGCCATGTTACGTTCTCGTTAGCTTCCGATCTGTTCTCGGTGCAATCGAGCCGTTTTCTTGTAGTTTACAACGGCAATAAAATTGTTCGAAGATATATATATATATTTAATTTTTATCTGTTTACAGAAAAGACATATACGTGCGCGCGGGTCGGTTTGTTGTTTTTAACGAGCAAATTATAGATAATGATTTTGTTTTCCAATTAGTACGAACGTTATATTTCTTTCGCGATTACACGCGTTTAATGTTCATGTAGAGTTTACGAGAATATTCAAGATATATTTTTTTTTGTCAGAAATAAGTTCTAACGAGATTAAGAATAAGTTTCTTCGCTTATCTTCTGTTGGTTTATTTTTATTTACTTTTGTCGAAAGTTCTAAAAGTTGGATAGATAAGAAGTGATATACGGTATCTTTCTGTGTGTTCGAATTATTCAGAGACAAACCGGCCACGATGGGCAGCATCAATTGGAGCAAAGCACATCCTTTTCGTTTTATCGTCAAATCAGAACGAGTCTGAAGCGCGGTAGCTCGAACCACGTCACGATTGTGAGGAACATGCAAAGAGCATTAAGTGTTCGACGTCGAGCACCGTAACGCACGCAGGATTCATCAGGTCTGAAATAAAATATTGCTTGTATAACCGTTCGGGATCTTGAAACTGTCTGCGTGAAATCGAGTCTGAAGTTTCAGATCTGAAGTGTCATGTTGTATCAAATCTCATGATGATAGTGTTACATCAGATCGTTGTTGATTTTATCACGTTTATAATTTTATCACAAAGCCGACTCCACTAGTACGTAAAATTTTATATACGTATAACATCGACTTACATGTTACAATTATAATATTCTCTCACTTAATATAAATGTGATATGAAAATAAAATAATCACAAATATTTTAGGCAATAATTATATTTATAATCATTAAATGTGCTATTTAATGTTGCTATAATTGTTCTTTATCATTTATAGTTGTAATAAGAATGCGATAAGTGCATTTGTAATCTCAATGACGAATAAGATTGGAAATAAGGAACAAATTAAAGATCACTGTAGTTGCAATATTTTTATAATTTTACTTAGATATTGACATATTACGTTTAATTAATATAATTGTAATATTATCGTTTATAACAAAATACTCAGTTTAAACAAATAGTTAATGCACGCACATTGCTCGTCAAATTCTGCGCGTCGCATTTATTTCTTTGGAGCATTTTTACTTATTGGTGAAGGAACAAATCAATCGCTGAGAAATCAGCAATAAAACGTAGAAATCTAATGTCGCGCGCGCGCGCAATCACGTTTACGATGTTTTTTTATTTGTAAATATATACAAACGTGCCAAGGATTTGACAAGGCAAATGATTCATTGTAAAACACACTATCCATCTTGTCATCAATTTATATTCGAGCGTCTCTTCCATTTTCTCGTTTGTTGTATCAACTCGACGAGTTTTGTTTTTTTGTTTTTTAACATTGTCTGAATTTTGTCCGTCGAACAGTGTTTTTTAATTAACGCATTAATGTGAAATTTAATCTTTAACTACTACCACTCTCTTTTACATTACTAATATTAGAATAAGTCTACACGCTTGTGAGTTTAATTCGTGGTAGTAATTAACGATTAATAACAAGACGCTGTACTTTTTATCTCGATATTTTGCATCTACAGAACTCGCGCATCACAAAAGGTTGCAAAAGAAACGTATTATTCTGTAATATAATAATTTATATGTTTCTCTATGGGTCTTTTTTCAAGGTGTCCGCGATGTATCATAGAAACTGGTTTCTTAGTTTTTGCATTTTCTACTATTTTGTTTTTTTATTACTCGAAATACCGCAACGCAATACGCGACCAAACTGATTCTTGGACATTCAGACAAAGTTGTGTACACAGCATGCGTTATATATACATGGGGAATGGGGAAGTTGGGTGAGACATCACATGTGTACGGCAATCGATAGCGATGGACTAGTTGTATATCGATAAAACCTTTTAAGCTTGATACTTCACGCATTTAGAGATTTGAGAGCAAGATGCTCGATGCTTTTCACCTTTTAATTGTTAAATTAACGATCTTTGAGAGGCGTCGGTGTTATTAGAAGATGTATTGAAACTCACAATATGCGACACCTAGTCCATTCCTATCTGCCCGAAACTACCGCATAATATTAGTAGTTAATTTCGGAGAGTAAAAAAAACCAGATCGATTGTTTAATTGTGTTGTCACGAATGAGAAAATTTTCACTTAATCAAGAACATGTTCGGCAATATATGAATATAACTAATATTATTTAAATAAAGTAATTATATTATATTATTCTTACGATTTTATATATACTACTATATATTATCTCGTCGTCTCGAGTAATTTATGATAACACATCGGCTCTTCTATTACGCACATTCTTTACTTATTACTCCTCTTTGCTGCACGCACACGTATCTTTTCCGAAATCAGGTGATTAAAAAAAAGGTTTATATTATTTTTTGAAAAAACAAAATTAACACTCTCTGAGAGTGCAAAAAGCTTTGTCGAAGATTAAACAAAATGTTTGTTAAGATATTTTATCGTTATGTAAAACATTAAATTGACTATATCCCAAGAATTGCATCTGTAGTGTTTTATACTCCTTTTACACCCGTCGTCCTTTTATTTTTGCTTTATTTTATCGAGTTTCTTATCCTGGTCTTTTTATTTGCTCCCTTTCAGACCCATCTGTAGACAAGTGAAACATGGAGATAGTTATAAAAAAAAAAAAAAAACGAAAAAAAGCGAGAAAAGTGAGCGAGACAGGAGATGAGCGCAGGACACGAATACGACTGGCCTGACTGGGCAGTTGGTGCGCATTTATAGAAATCTATGGAATTAGAAAAAGACATTAGAGAAGATTGTTACTGTAAGTTCAAACGTAGCAATAAGCATGATCGCGGAACTATTACGTACATTTACGCAATCGATGTATAAATTTCTTTTCCACCGAAAGACAAATAGCGTCAATTGGATCCGATTAGAATTTAAATAATTGTTTAAGATCTAAGTATGGCAATTAATAAATTTTATTACACCTATGTTATAAATATTTTTCATGAAGGCGTTATGATATTTATAACATTGAAATAAAAAAGTGTTTTTCTTTCGGTAATGATTGTCATCACATGTTTTGTTTGGCAAATCGTAAAGAAAGAAATTTACGTAAATGTACATTTTTCTTAGATAATTACAAGGAAGGTTTTAGATGCAATTTATATTATGCAATGTATTATAAATGTTGTAGTACAAATTCCTTAAAACACTCTTGAACATATTTTCGAAATATT